AGTTGTTTAGAATTCATGCCATTGCCATCTGATGCCCTTCGATGTCCATTTGTATCGATTTTCACTTGTGGAACTTTGTCGCCGAGGCCTCTTCTGAAGGGGTCCAAGGCTCAGACTAGGGAGCCAAAGGCAAAGGGAGGAGCGAAGGCCAAACCAGCCCCCAAAGCTCCTTCCACTCCTGGTGCCAAGAAGCGTGCCAAGTAAGTACAGGTCTTGTGATTTTGAAGATTTTGCCAACTGTCTTGCAGCGACAGTGAGTGTGACTGCACACTGAACAATTGGGGAGCGTGTGAAACAAGTGTGACAACTCTTACAAATTTTGTTTCGTGGCAGAATGAGATTGGTCAGGGCTTTTGGATGTTCGTGCCAGGGGGGTGCGAACGACCGGAACGATGCGTTGGTTCAACAGCTCGCGGAATCGTTTGGGGAAGGAGCATGGGACTCAGATCTGGGTACTGGGCAGGGAAACAAAACGAGGCCTCTACTGGCCGCAATTTGTGTTGCCTCTCACCTGATACATATATATATATATTATATTATATTATGTATATTATATATATTAACCAGGCTAACGCCTGGCAGCCGCCGACCCCCAGGGAAGTGGATGGCCTAGTCACTGCATCACCAAAGTAGGCAGAAGAGAGCACGGCAAATGGGTTAGCATTTTTGTTTGAAAATCTGGGAACCCAAAAAACAACACGGAGCCCCTAGACAACGACAGAACTATCTAGAAAAACCAGAGAAAATCCTGGAAAAACTCTCGCAAAAGGCATGAAAGGCATGAGTAAAGCTTAGAAAAACCTTCGAAAATCCTAGAAATCCAGCGGAAAACGTTTGCAAGTAGAGGAAAATGGGTTAGCATTTTTCTTTGCAAATCTGGGAGCCCAAAAAACAACACGGAGCCTTTACAAGTACCTAGAAAAACCAGACGACATGCTGGAGAACACCCTCGCAAAAGGCTGCAAGGAATGCGTAAATCTTACAAAAGCCCTGAAAAATCCTAGAAATCCAGCGGAAAACGTTGCAAAATCTGAGAAAAATCAAGGGCACTGGCAGGAACCACGCCGCGACCAGCCCGGGATTCGAGCCCGGGACCGCCGCGACCAGCCCGGGATTTGAGCCGGGACCATTTTGGAATGTGCTTATTTTCCCGCGCGGGTGGAGAGGGTGCCCCAAGATGTAAATCAATTGGGATGGAGAAATCTTGGACAACTCTTGGAGAAGTCTTTGCGAAATCTTGGCGAAATCTTGGCAGATTTCGGCAGATTTCGTCACTGCAACAAGGGTCCGGAGGGGTAGGGGAGGTAAGGCCAAGGCTAAGGACTAAGGATAAGGCTAAGGCCAAGGCTAAGGCTACTAAGGATGAGGCTAAGGTCTAAGGCTAAGGCTAAGGCTATCAATCAACAGTCACGCCTCACCCCACAAGTGGGGTCGGCGGATATTGTTGTTTTGGCAGTTTGGTTTTGACAAGCGGTTGGGTTGGCCACGCCATGCAGGACCAGTTAGAACAAGAAACAGGTCAGCTCTAGCAACAGCTAGAAAAAACGTATTGATTTCTTCCATGTGACCTTTCTCCCTTCCAATGTTGGCTCTTACTCCTAGACTCTACCACCTTAAAGCTTGGTACCAAAAGGTCACATGGAAGCAGTCTGATTGCACAGGTGCTCCGAGTGAACCAGTGTTGCCAATTCTGTTCAAACGATTCCTGACTTGTGGTTCTGGATGAGCAAGCATTTTTCCTTGGGGGGGTTGGGGGTATCTAACAGTTCTTTTTTTGTGTGGGCCAGCCTTTAGAAATAGTATTTGAGCACTCACCAAGTCCACACAGACACGTGCAATTACATTGGAGTCGTGCCAAATAAACACTGCTAATTGGTTGTTCCTGGATGTTTGTTTTTTTCCAGGTTCGCCGAGAAACAGAAAGAGCTGAAGTAAGCTCCACAGATCGACAGATTCTGTTACAGTAATGCACTTCTGGTACCATGCGGTACCAAACTGTTTCCTCTGGAGTGGCTGAGGCTACGGGAGTCGACACCAAGTTGGCCCTCACAGCCCACTCAGTGCAAGTACTGGGTAAAAGAAAAAAGAGATCAATGAATGCAGAGCGTGACATGCACCGGACATTTTGCAGGGCTGGACTGTCACTGCCAGTGAAAGTTGATGAAGTAGTTCACCATTTGGCTGGTGGCTCAACGACTACACACTGCATCCAGCCATCATCTTGGCTGAAGGTCCTTCTGCGAAAAAGCCCACATGTACTGTTTGGTGATGGAGATCCTTCTGACCAGTGCGCTTCGTTTTGGGCATGCTATCGTTTTGAAGAGCCTACTCATGCAGTCTTCCGGCTGCGGAGCCAAGAAGAGTTGAAGCAGACTGTTCCTTTACTGGTGTTTGGAGATGAGGGCAGAGGCCCCAAAAGAGGGAACTTTCTGGTCTGGAGTGTGGAGAGCCCGATTGGATTGACAAGTCTTGGTCCAGGGGATGTTTGCTCCTGTTCAGAAGATCTGTCTGCCTTACCTTACTTCGATGTGGTGAGTGAACAATCTGTTGGTCATATCCCTGATGATCTGCTCGAGGCAGCCAGGAAGATGACAACAAATTACAAAGGCCATTCATTTCTCACGAAGCATTTGCTCTTCGGTCTGCCCTTTTGGCAGTACAAAGGTGAGAATGCAGATGTGGTAAAAAAAACATTTGCAGCTACTACAAGAAGATCTATCCCACCTGCTAGAGCATGGCATTGATGTTCAAGGAGTGCTTCGGTTTGTTGAATATATATTATATATATGTTTACTTTTTATTTGTTTTGTTTGTCCTTTCCTGCCAAGCTAGTAGACCAGTAGCAGTAGCGGTGGTTCTTCCCTGCTGCAGGAAAGCGCTGGTATGCTTGCTTAGTTGGGGCAAAAGGAGACCTTAAGCACCATACTTCCCTTGCTGGTCTAGATCGATCATACGCCAATGTTGGACAAGATTCAATGATGTGTTCCCTTTGCTGGGCTGGACTTGAGGAATTCCCTTTCGAAGACCTTGCCGACACACCGCAGTGGTCTCAGACATTGCATAGGTCTCGACCTTGGACAAATACACCGGTTCTGTCATTGGTACCTGGCGTAGCTGCTCCAGAGACATTGTACCTACTTGATCCCTTCCATCTTTTTAAAGTTGGAATGGGGAGGGACCTTGCAGGTTCAACAATTGCAATTTGTTGCAAACTTGGATGTTGGGATGAAGTTAACGACTTACATGAGAGCAAAGCCCTGGACGCACGCTTGAAGCGTGCGCACTCCTGCTTCACTTTGTGGGCTTCAGTGAATGGCTATGCGCCAGGTTTGCGCAGTTTCACACCAACCTTTTTCAATATTGAAAACCGGGCATCTCAAGCCTGGTGCAACACGAAGGGAAGCGACACTCAGATGGTGCTGAAGTTTATTTTGTGGTTCATGAGGTTGAAGTTGCTGAGTGCATCAGACTTTCCTGCGGCTCAAGTGCGTTTCTTCAAAGTTGTGAAGCATACGGTTCAGTGTGGCTTGGAACTTTTTGATTTGCTCCACAGCCACGGATTGTGGTTGCATCGTGATTGCGCCAAAGTGGCATACATTCGGATCATGATCTTACTGAGAGGCTACAAAAAGCTAGCAGCCTTATCAATGGGATTGGGATTTCCTGGGTTTGGGCTTAAGCCCAAACTTCATGGAATGCATCACTTGGCATGGAGCATGAAAGAAAGCCTCAAGCGGGGTGCTCCAAGAGTGCTTAGCCCAATCTTCGCTGGATGCGAATCCAACGAAGACACAGTTGGCCGTATAAGCAGACTTTCAAAGAAAGTATCCACAAGGACTTTGACCCGTCGCCTCATGGATCGGCACTTGTTGAAAAAATACTCTTTGATCCGCAGAAGCCAAGATGAAGGTAAGCCAGCCACTGGTTCGAGGTCTACACTGCGACGAAAGCGATGAACTTCACTCATGGATCGATGGGCCCGCGAGTTGAAAGAAGCATGTTTGGTTTGGGCGCTGGCAGGGCAATTGGGCAGACCATGTGGAAGGGAGACTGGACTTTCCAAACCCTAAGCTTACAGGAAACTCATGCAGTCTTACAAGGAGTGACTCGCGGTTACGGTTACGACTGGAGTGGGTCAGTAAAACAATTTGGTTGATTCTGCAAAGCGTTTTGGCAGCCTCCATTTGAAATGTTTGGAACCTCATCTTGCTGAAGGGAGGAAACGCACATGGTTGAACTCTAAACCATTCTAAACCGACACAGGTCAAACTGGTACAATGAATGATCAAACTGTAAAACGCTCAACATGGCCCAATGGAGTTTATCAATCAAACTGTTGTGTGTTGAGATGGTGTGACTGGAAACAACTGCATGCAATCATGTTTTTGTGCTCCTGTGGTTTCAAAGATGGTTCCAAGACAAACCTCAAAAAGGCGTTCTTGTTTTGGTGGTGGCGTTTTTTTTTTGAGCAAAGATTGCCAATGGCAATTTTTCAGTGAAGTGGCTGAATTTTCAGCCATTTTCAAAAAGGCAGTTATAAAAGCCTCTGGAGGTTGTAGGTATTGATTCTGTTCAGAAGTTGCTGAACGAAACTCTTGAATTGGCGTGAACGTGGCCACAGTGAACGTGCTGCGCCTACCGATGTTCTCAGTGCTGCACCTACCACGAAATCTGCACTTCGAGGCTTTTTCTCCGTGCTGCGCAAGGAACTCGACTCGGGAGATCTGTTCGTTGACCGATTTCTCAAACCTGCCCTTGGAGGCCATTACTACATAGTTTCAAATATAGCTACTATAGTAACAGTAGCTTCTTTGCCTCCGACCTACAAATGCGATGGCCTCCACCTAGTTACTTAGTAGCGTCCTTGCCACTGAAAAAACAGAAAAAAAAAACACCAGCGACCCCAAGTTTGGAGCACTCACTTGTTCGCAACCCCCATCTATCCCATATATCCATTCCACCCCTCCGCTTTCGGTCGCCGAGAATTGGTTCCAAGGGGCTCACCGAGCCTTCGATGAAGGTCCCAGAAGTCTTCCCGAGGCTTGGCATCTCTCTCCTGCGAGGACCAGCAGGACGCGAAGAGGACCAACGAGGACCAACGAGGACCTTGCTTCGAACAAACGTCGACGGGTGTCAAACCATTGTCATCGAGGATGTGGTGAGTGAGTGGTGCCAAAAACCCAAACTACAGGACATTCCTTAGGGATCCAGTCGCATCTTCTCAGGTACGGTGATTGGAGACACTGTGATGTAGGTTTGTAGGGTCTAGTAGAGTCTACGTACCTCTGAGAAGGTACTTTGATCCTTATATAGGTATATTAATATATTGATTTTAAAATGTGCAATGTATGCATGCATTCGTTGCGCCTTTGGCCTTTGGAATTTCGCTTCTTATCACTGTACCGTGTCAACATACATCTTTTCTTCAATCCCAAACACTCCATGTATGGAATATTTACGTACATTGGGGTGGTTCAGGAGCGAATGTAGGTAAATATGCCATATGTAAGTCGTGAACGCGCAGGACAAAGCAGCTGATCAAGAAGCCTCAAATCAAGCTGCACGAGTGTGAGTTACCCTTTTACTTTGCTATAACTTGCCAGGCTAATCTCCTTCTCCCCTTTTCATGCCTGGTATGTACTCCATACTATACCGCTCCGGTGCAAACTGGAAACACCCGGAGTGCTTGCGTTCACCGTTCAACGTGGCGTGAGAATCGCCGTCCTCTATACAAGGGAAACCATCCCGGGACGGTGAGCTGCGGTATATATGGTAAGTACATGCAACAGTATAGCATGTGTACAAAAAATGATCCAATACTCAAATGAATCATAACATATCATTACGACGTGTGACTGTACATGCATATTACATGGATATAAACATGTATTTAAGACTTATAATAGTTACAAGGCGTATCGATCACCATCCATCTCCCAGGCAACCTCCCACCTTTCGGCTTAACGCATGCCACGGTTTACCCCGTGCCACGCGATTTTGACACGCGCTCGGTCCACGCGGCGCTCGGTCGGTCCATGCTTCGGCACCACACCCGACGGGCGCTCGGCGCTGGAGCCGCAAGTGTCGATGCGGAGATGCGGCGGATGGCGGAGCCGATGCGGTTCGAAGCAGTTCGCTGATCGAAAGGGATACAGATCGGGTTCACCAAACCAGAACTTCCGGGAGCGTCTGGACTGGAAGATGTACCGTGTACCTGATCCCCAAGTCCGGACAGGAACTGACCTCATGAAAGACTGGAGATGGTTAAACAAAAACACGACTCAAGCAGGTTAAAAAAAAACGAGGTTTTACTGGTAGGGATATGATATGATCTAATATAATCATTATGATAGTATACAGTATAGTAGATCATATCCCTATACAAGTCCAAAGATCCAGTAAACCCCCTTGTCAACACACCCCAACCCATAATTGTAAGGCCAATCCCATGGACAATGGGTGGTCTAGGCAAGTCCCACGATGTTGGGTTCCACAGGTTTATCACCACGGCGATGGGTTCTGGATGTCTTCCAGGATCGAGGACGCTCGAGTCAGACAAAGGAGTCGGGTGAAACACCCCATCAAGCGAAGCATGGAGCAATTTCATGACTGGTTGGTGGTTTCAACTCTAAAATATGAGTCACATATGAGTCGGTGATAGTCAGTGAGTTCAATCATCCCAATGTGAAGAACAACTGGCGGGTAATTGAACATCAACATCTCCGAAACTCTTCTGGGATCGCTTTCCGTTTGCGCATTCCAAAGGTAGACCGCCAGTGACGGCACAAGAGGGACCTTTGAAGGGTCCCTTCCAGCAGCAGTCAGTCAAAAACTATAGAACCCCGGAGAATCCTTCACTTAAAATGCATATAGCACCTCAATCATATGAATATCACTGTTTTGGAGCCCAAACATGCATCGTTGATGGATATGGTTCTGACCAAACGTCCGTGTCAAGCTTCGAGCTTCGAATGACCGAGCAGTTCCATATATTGGCGATCGGCGCGGACTGAGTGGGGGGGGCCGGAAGTGATGAAAGAAACCGCTGGGATGCGGGAGGTTGATTTAGGCCAAGAAAGGGGGGGCATAGAACTTTGGGCTCAAGAAATCATCTGGATCCTGATTTATGTTCAACATGAACCATTTGATTGTGAATAAGCCATCTGTTGGTAGTCGGACACGTGCTCCTTGCGGGGGGTCAAGGAGAATTGACCAGCTGGTCACCTATCGCACCTCGACACCGACGCGCATCGTTGAACGCCTCGCTTAGCCCGAGAGCCTTTGCTTTGAAGGTCTCGGTGCTTTCCTCTTCGCCTTCACCAATGCCGATGCCCTAGGGATCCAGTCGTACCGAACCTCAGAAGGTACGACTGGACCCTCCAAACCTACATAACAGTGCCTCTAATCACCTTCTGAGAAGGTACTTGGATCCCTAGCAAATGGAAAAGTAACCTATTTTGGACTTCCAAGGGATCATGCCATATCATGCCACCATGCCATCCGCTTCCACGATCATTCCAGAGAGTGTAAGTGTCGAGACATGTCAAGTGGGTGCTGTTTGAGGTCGAGTCTGGGATCTTCGCAAAAGAGTCGCAAACCAGGCCAGCCCACATCTTAAGTTTCCTCATAAGGGGTGATTTCCGCAAAAACTGCTGATCAGTTGGGCTACCTCTCCGCGGAATTGGCCGCGTCTGAGGACTTATCAAACACATCATCAGCCAATTCTGAGGAAAGGTCCAAGTGATTTTGTTCTTCGGGACGTTTGATATGTTCCCCATCAAGGCACGGTCCCATCACGTGGAGTCAAGCCGAGCTTCGGCACTTGACACTTGAAATCTCAGAATCCAACCCTTCAAGTGGAAAGAGTTGTGAGGGTCCAAACCCCTATGGACCAATGGAGAGTCCGTCCCCTGATATGGAGCTGGGAATAGTTGTCATCACCTTTGAAGTAGGGGACGTTTCAGGAAGAATTGCTTCTGAAATCGTGGACCACCAAGCTGGTTCAGGAAGACTTACTCTGGCTGGTAATTGCACAAGTACCACATGTCCACATTGATTTGCATCATTGCTTGTCCCAACAGAATCGAACAGTTTAAAAAGGTGCCCTCTCTTGCTCACGTTGAGCAGCTGTGGAATTGCAGCAAGATCTGTAGCAGCTGGGGGAGGCCACATCCTTTCCTCCCCTTGCTACCAGCGAGGTAGGGCCGCTGGTAGGCCAGGCATCTTCGAAGCGAACGGACTCGAGGTGAATCGATGTGAAGTGAGGGAATGATCGACTCGACTCGAAGCGGACCGGACCTGAGATCGACCGGACCGGACCTGAGCTGCTGCTTTTTGAAAAAAACCAAGGTCGTATGGTCATACTGAGTCATACTGAGTCATACTGTCAACATGTGCCGCCTGTTTTTGGAGGTCAAACACCAAAACATATCTCCAAAGAGGTCACTTCCAAAGAGATTCTGGTGTGCCTGTTTTTTGGGCCCCAATCGTTTCAAAGCGTTGCCACTCAAAAGACCGTGTCCCATCCTCACCCGGGGCCCGTCTCGTAACCGTCTCTTCCCCGGAATCCGGCCGCTGTGCCGGTGGCCTTCATCCTCTTTCTCCTTGCAACGTCGGAACGGGAACGAGCGGGTGATCGAGGGCAAAGTCCAAACATCTCCTGACCATTTGAGGCTCCATGAATTCAACATACAATGTATACGTGATTGACCCATCACCACGTCGATACTGAGCAGAACAATTGACTGACTATGACTGGCCATGGAACACTCTCAAATTCTACAATTGGAAGATCACAAAGAGCTTCTGCTGTGCATTCTGCTGGCAATCTCCTGCTCCAGAAAACCTGCAAATTTCACCATTTAAACCTGACAGTGCACCGTGAAGCCGGCTTAATTACTATGCGGGATAGCTTTACTACTATCACCATTGGATGCCTTGCTGCAGGTACCGACTCTATGTCCCCAACACAAGTCTCCGTCTGCATCACAGATGCTGCAACACAGTTCGTACACAGCCAAAGCTGCGTCTAAGGGGTTAAGCGATCCACCTAAGATGTTGGATTGATAGATATAGTATTATAGAGGGCAACTCTTGCATCTATCAATCTAGCCAGTAACCAATCTGAGATGTTGTTCTCTATCCAATGGATAGTTGAAAGTCACTGCTTCGATTCAAATACGCTTGTTTAAGCCCAGCTGGTCTCTTGGTCGATGTTCCAGGGGTCGACCTCGGTCTGGGACCGACCACGAGACAACTCGGGTCAAAAACGATGGAAGGACTGAACCGAAACAAACGACCTGAACGCAATGTTCATCCACTTCAATCTGGTACAAGAATTCATGGTATACCCATAGGTTTTGAGTTTTGACCCATGGCCATATATCGAAGGACACGTCTCTTGCTCCGTTCGTTGTCCCTTGGACCGTGGAAAACAATGCTTGTGTTAAAATCAGTGAATCAATGGTCAATGAAAGGCCATTGGAAGCCGGTTTGGATCGGGATGGATCGAACTTGGCACTGAAGAACGCCGGTGGACCAAAACGTCTTCCTGATTTCAGGTTGTTGAAGCTCTGAGTGGGGTGCCCAGTTAACAAAGAAGATATCTAAAAGAGGAACAGTCACCATAATGAGATAGATAAAGAACAGACCGCCCTGGTTTCTCCCCTTCCAGCCTCTTTGTCCTCTTCAGGCTGCTCCCCTTCTTGGGCCTCTTTTTCTTCTTCAGCCTGCTGCACACACCAAACGCTCCCTAGAAGATGTATGTTTGTCTTTTGGACCGGTTTCATCGGGAAGATTCTTCACATCGCATGTTGCACAGCTGCGCCCTAGTGCTCCGTACCCTCGTTTCGGTGGGACTGGGGGTGTCAGGTCCACCTTTTGAGGAGCTACGACTCGGTACGACGCCTGGAGCTTTAGGGTCGATCACTGGCGTCCGTGTTTATGTTTGTTCAACCTATTTTGTCTCGAACTCTGGGCAAAGCAAACAGAGTCTATAGCACGCCAATGATCAGCACGTCTATTGATCGTCTATTGATACAATACGTGCAGCAATTGTGCTAGCTCTTTGTTGCTCTATAACCTCAACATATTTCAAAAACAAAACTCCAAAAACTGGAGATGCTCAAAGCAAAACACAGCAACAACTTCTTAGTATCAAGGTGTAAAATGAGAGCTCTAAGTAAAACAAAAAAAGCAGGGTGAAGGGAGGCAGGGACACATGGTTGCACCATGGTTGCACCTCTTCATTCTCCTCTCCTTCTTCCTCTTCTTCCTCATCATCATCATCCTCCAGCTTTTTTTGAGGTCCAGCCAAAGGAGCTTCCAGTCAGAAGTGGAAGAAGCCGGCTTTAAGGGCGTCAAACTCCGTTGTTGAAACAACATCTTCCTGGAGGAAGGAGTAATGATGAGTAATGCTTTGTTCAACCTTTTTTGGCTTCTCCATCCTGATTAGCAACTGCTTCTGTTCATGCGTTTAAACAAATTGGGGCTCCCAGTCTTGCTGAAAGGCTTGTTTTGGATAGCGATGGCCTCTCTTGTGCGCTGGAATGATGATCGTATCGTTGGCGTGTCTGTGTTTTGGAAGGTCAACATCATCCCGTATGGTCCTCTTCATTCTCATTGCCTTCGTCCTCCTGCAGGCCAAGAAGATCTGGAAAACAGATCTGATTAGGTGAGGTGACTTCCTGGAATGCCGGGAATGCCTGCCATCATATAATAGCCTCCAAAAATATGTTTATACATAAAATTCCTAAATTTGGACATGAAGCTTCATAGGATCTTCTTGCCAGCTCCGGTAACCCAGTGCTTTCAAGACTGCAGGTTCTTTAGAGCATGTCTAGAACCCCTAAGTCTAAGGATCCAGTCGCATCTTCTCAGAAGATGTGTTCGACACTGTGATGTGACGGTACCATTGTCGGGTCCAGTCGTAGCTCCTGACCCTAGGGATCCAAGTACCTTCTCAGAAGGTGATTAGAGGCACTGTTATGTAGGTTTGGAGGGTCCAAGTACCTTCTGAGAAGGTACTTGGATCCCTAGGGTGAGGTACTTTGATCCCCATGGGACCGGCCATCACGGCCATCGCGGGCCGGGCCGAAGGGCGTGAGAAACTGCAGAAGGCGGTTCAGCCCGCAGCCCCAGTCCAAGAGGACGAGCGAAAGTCTGTCAGAAAGAGTTACTGGTGGAAGAACATACGGACATGCCTTCCGATGACGTCACCGTATACATGTTCGTATACATGATTTTGTTGTTTTTACAATACTTTTCTTTAAATTTAGAAGATGGTGGAACAGTCTACACTCAAAAAGCAAGAGCCAGGACATCGACTTCGCCGCTCCTCATCATCGCCTCCAGTGGGCCAGACTAAACGCTCCTGGCGATGCTTCAGGGTTGCAAACCATGCATCACGGGTGGGAGGGGGAGGGGGGCCAGAGTAAATGCAGAATAGAGGGACCCAAGCCCCTGAGTGGTCACATTGACCCCGACGTTACAGGTTCATGACCACCCGGAACTTGTTACTTCAACCATTTCCCTCCGTGAGGTGGGTCTTGACATGTCTTGACTATAGTGATGGCCTCCAACCTACTAGCGATGGCCTGCAACCATGCTAAAGTAACTCTATGTAGCTCTGCTCTACTAGGTGAGTGAATGGTGGGTGAATGCTTATACGTGAGGGCAGTCTGGATCTCAAATGCTCGAGGGTTCAGTCTGGATCTGATGAATCCAGCCCTGGCAACGACCTCCGTTTCATCAACGTCCATCAGGACTGCTGGCAGGAGTACACCCTGGAAGACGATCCCATGGACCCTGAAAACCACTGGTTGGTAGAGGAAAATGAGGAAAACACTCTTCCAGGGGGGCCAGGACGTCAGGGTCCATGTTAGTTTTCGGGAGATTCGCTCCTTTAGACCGCCACGACGTCAGTTTTCAACCAAGCCAGCAGCTACTAGCCGTGGTACTGCCACATTCTTGAACGACTCCTACAACTACTGTTTCAAATAAAACCCCGGAGATCACAACTGCATCACGCAATGACTGTGTTCTTTTTCCTCGAATCTCCGAGGAACGCCATGGCTCAGTCCCGGTCGCCCGTGCTCAGTCAGTCCGTGCTCCCGCTCTCCTTGTGTTCCAGAATCCAGCTTCTCAGTTCCGTCAGAAAGCGTTCGTTCACCAACTCGCGCGATTGGCTCCTGGACCCGGACGGAGCTTGCTCCGGTCTGGCCGACGACCGGAAACCGTCTCCGGTCTCTCCGGCCGACCGGGACCGCCCACCGAAGATGCGGTCGGGAAGTTGTTTGGGGCAAGGTGTTTTCATTCTCTAGAGAACCAGACTCTTGAGCAAGAGGAAGAACTCATGGATTCCACATGTGTGCAGTCCTATGCGTTCAGTCATGTTCTGTCCATGAGTTGTTCATGAACATGCAGGTCGATACTCAACGGGACCTACAGTATCAATGGCTCACATCCCAAAACTGAAGAGGAGACCACCCTCTCGAGTGAGGAAGCTGGACATATTCAAATTCATTGATCACTTGATCCATCAACGACCCCATAAACCCTACAAGGAAGTGCTAGAGTTCTCCGACCCCCTCAGTTTCGCTGGACAATAAAGGTGAACCAAACCTGTTGCACCTGTTTGCACCTCAGTGAACCCCCAAATCCGTCCAGAGTCGAGATTGCAGGCAATCCACTGACTGAGTATCTTTCTCTCCAAGTGCGCCTCCATCTACTTTTGAGTATTGGAAGATATTGGAAGTGATGGAGCATATTGGATATAATCCTGGATAAGTGAAGATATTGATATTGCTGATATCAGCCTTCTACTTCTGAGTATTGGAAGATATTGGAAGCCTTCCAGCCTTCTGGCTTTCCTGCAATGTTGGTCTCAATTAGTCTTGAATGATGAACTTAACCTACACTCAGCAAAGACATACAAACTCTTCAGGGCTGTTTTCTGTGGTGACTACGACATATTGCTTATGTCTTGCGCTATTGCTTGCTTCTCTTTTCCTCTGCTCTCTCAGCCCCGGTCGCCTCAGCCCGCCCACCTCACCACGTCCAGTCCTTCCCACTTCGTTCCCGGGTGGCTTGGGCAAGGCACTGCCGCCCTCGCTCCAGACTTCGTCGAAGTTATGGGCAAAGACGTTGACGAAGCTGGCCTGGTACGGCGGCGCACGGACGCGCGGTTCGGCCACGCGTTTTCAAAGGTGGGGCGCGTGTGGGTGTTCAGTCCCAGACACGACCTGTCTGGGACTGCCAGTCCGGACTGCCGATCAATTGGGGTGGTTGAAGTCGGGGTCAATGTATGTATACATATGGCAGTCCCATTAGTCGTGTCTGGGAGAAGTCAATTGGTCTACCGCTCAAAGCGGTCCGCAATGCAGCAGCAGAGTGGCGTTGCCAGGTCTGTCTCGTGGTTCGGTGCCAGGTCTGTCTTGGGCGAGCGGCCGATCGGCGGCTCGCCGCATCTGCCACTGTCACATCAAAACTGCTGTACCAAAGAGCGAACTGAGCGAACCACAGTGGTAATTGACTGTGCCAAATGAGGGTTCCTGGTTCTGCGCATTGCTCCGTCCGAGGACCGAGGAAAACAAGCTCGAGCATCCAAACCACAAACCGAATGAATAGCTCTCAGCTCGCAGACCGAACAAAATGTAACAATCCCGACACCGTAGGTCGGATAGGCATCGATTGACACCGCACCAACTCAAAAAGGATAAGTCAATTGGTAAACTTGAAGAACAAAGAGAAGCCAGAAAAAAGATAACTCCAGCAGTTGTTGACCGAACTTTAGAGTGCCAGCCAGTGACCTGTTTTCCAGGCCTTTTCGTGACCTTCAATCAAAGGATCAAGTCTTGGTCACTTGGAAGAAGCAAGTAAACCATCACCAAGTTTAAGATCACAGCACCCTGAACACCCTCATGGATTTTCGTTTGATTTCTCCGCTCAGAACTTCGGGCGTCACGCACCGTCCGGTTCGTTTGGGATGCCGGCGTCATGAGACGGAACGCTCAGCGTCCTTCCGTCTCATGAGCCGGAAACGACCTGGAAAAAAAAAAGGCAAACTGAACGAACTCCCGGAGTATAGCAACTTAAGCATCAATGCCATGTATATTTAGTGAAGCTCATTTAGGTATATCTTGCCATCCACTGGATCACCTGGTCCCCAAAAAAGACACGAACGCCCATCGGAAAAAACCCTCTAGGACCTCTAGGGGTTAGGGTGTTGAAACCCTACGGTGGAAAAAAACCACGAACAGCTGGACACGTCCAAAACGCCCAAAAAGCCATGCTGAGCTCCCGCGCCAAAAAGCCATGCTCCATGCTCTCCGGCCTTAGGCGAAAGGGACTGCTCCAGCTGCCCACCCGACGTTCCAGTCTGGCATACAAAGATAGAGGTTGAGGTTGCTGCCTGCTTCCTTTGGTCTTTTTGCATACTGATAACTAGTATGAAACTGGGAAAGGCAAGCACTCTAGATTGGTCTTTAGACCTGCTTGAACCCTAGCTTCAAAATGGTTCTTAACATTTAAGTTATACTTAAAGTCTCTTAAGGATCCAACTCGTGTTCAAGCAGAAAAATACAAAACTATCCCTGCCCATCCATATATACTTGACTCACGGAATTCGACCACAATCATCTTCTAAGCTTGTGATCTTCGGATTCCATGGTGAGTCCCGAACCAACTGCTACATGATGGTTCCAAACCCTAGAGGGTCAAAACCCAGACTGCGAACTGAGGGTCCAATGAGAATTTGGGTGAATTTCATTGAACTCAAAACTGATTCCATTGAGTGTCATGATGTTCCATGCCCCACTTTTTTCATGCCCGGACCTGTGATTTCTGTTTCGTTACCGCCCATGCTGTTGGATCTTCGACTTTTTTTTGGTCGGACTAGGAGACTGAAACAAAAAAACGTGCTTGAAAGAGATAGGTCAAATCCTGACATTGAGGGCTCTATCGCTGAACAGAATTCTAACAAGCCTACCATCTGGCAAACTTAATCCTGTCCATTCCATTCGGCCTCGCCTGCTCGACCCCTCATAAGGATCAACACCCCACAAACTCAGGTGAACCCCCGCTGCTGGAGAGTCTTCTGGCAAGCTATGGAATCATCTGCCCGTTCCACACCAGTGGTATCCAGCTGCTATTTCTGGCACCGATCCCTTGGATTTGCTGTTCAAGAACCAGGAAAAAATACCCCAGGGCATCCAGTTACCACTATAGCTGGTAACCAATGGTTCCAAAGACTAAAACCATAGACCGGTTCCGAATCCCTGGTTCCTTATAGAGTTCGTGGTTTGCCTGGGATGCACTGGGTACTGTAGATCGTGTGATCCCCACCATGGAACTATAATCATGTTGATCACCGACGGCGATACTGCCTCAACATCCCCTTCAGAAAGCGCCTATCTGAGCAGATTCTAGCTGGCATTCTAGCTGGCATATTATGGCCCTCTATCTGGCATATATTGTGGGATTCTATCTGGAGATTCTGACATGCTTTCTGGCATATTTTCTGGTGTCCATCAGGCCTTTGGAGAAACTCAACAAACAGATTGCTTCGGCACCTGAAAAATTCACCTTGCAGAGCATCGAATCGAACTTCTTGTCCCACAAACACCACGTAGCCTTGTCATCGTCGCATGGTTTAGACTCCGCTCCCATCAGCCTTCCGCTTTCTGGGCAAAACTGGTCTAACCACCAACCTTTGATGCTTTCTTTGACTCCAGGAAATACGTCTCATCTCCGAAAAGTCCCATTGGCATCTCGCCAACCGAGTCTGTTCCAAAACTGGAAGCCGCTCAACTGGAAGCGGCTTAGTATTCCAACCCCCAACACCTGACTCAAACATATTTTCTGGCAAAAATTCTATCTGGCAAAAAGAATCTGGCAGTCTTGAATATTTCTGGCATTCTAAATGTAAAAATTACTGACATTCGTTCTGGCATATGATCTGACATTCTATCTGGCATATTTTCTGACATGTTTCTTTTTTGTGGCAAAAACAGTCACATTCTAACTGGCACATGTTCTAACGTTCTTTGTGGCAAATATGTTCACATTCTATCTAGCAGAATTTTTGGTGTCCTATCTGGCACATGTGTTATGGTGTTCCAATGTTTTCTATCTGGTATAAATTATGGCATTCTATCTGGCAAACGTTCTTGCATTCCATCGGGCGTTTCTTCTGGCATATTTTCGGACATTGTATCTCGCATATGTCCTGGCATTCTATCTGGCAAAAAAAAATGAAGTCTATCCGGCATACATTCTTGCATTCTATCTGGAATATACTCTGGCATTCTATCTGGCGGGAATCCTGGCATGTTATCATGCATAAAGCCGTCCATTCTATCAGGAATCTACTCTGGCATTCTATCTGGCAGGGATCCTGGCATTATATCCAGCATGTAATCTTCCATTCTATCAGGAATATATTCTGGCCTATGTACTCTGCCATTCTAGCTGGCATGAAAATTGGCGTTCTATACATTCTATTCAAAATATATACATGTGGCAATTACGGGTGGGGGGTCTTGCACCCCATTTTATAGACATAAAATGGGCTGTCCAACCCCCTCTCGTCTATAATTTGAGAGGGTTTGAGGAAAACACCTCCTGTATAAAATGGGGGGGGGCCAACATGCGCTACATGTCATCATGTCCTTGAAATCTACTATGAAATGAGGAGGGATACATATATTCTACATCTGTCAGAAACGGGTGATTGAGCGAAAAAGACATGGTCTGAAATCTCAGACACACGTGACCTGTCCAATTCCGTTTCATTTTTGTACGCATCACGATGCAACAGGCAAAATATCTATAAAATGAGGGCGGCCAACCCCCCTGGAATGTCCATAAAACGTTTTATACGGGGGGTTGACCCCCCCCATTTCATAGGGCTAATTGCCATAGGTATCAAAATATTATTGCATTCTAATTCTATCTGGCATATACATCCTGGCATTGTATCCGGCGTATGGTCTTGCATTCTATCGCATATACTCTGGCGTTCTGTCTGGCATACAAACTCTGCAATTCTGGCAAAAAAATCTGACATTCTTTCTGGCATTTATTCTGATTTGTTTGGCATCTCTTCATGTGTTCTTTCTGGAACTCTATCTGGGTCAGGTACGGTGGTGCCCGCCATATAGCCCTGACCGAACGCCCACATATTCTATAACCATCACCAGCGTATTCGGCCAGGAACCAGGAACCGGTGGCCATGGAACCAGCCGTACCGCTCGTACCGCCACGTAGGCGGTATGCCTGGGCTTCCCCCGCTTCAAATAGGCCACCAAGGTGGCGAAGGTATGTGCCCAGCGCCGTTGGTCTTCCTGCCACGGCGCAATCCAATACAAACCCAGTGCATCACAGGCAGTTCCCACGAACTCTATAAGGAACCAGGGGCCCTTCGGAACCGGTCGAAGTGGTTTTAGTCGAACTGGAACCACTGGTTACCAACTATGGTGGTAACTGGATGCCCTGGGTAACACTTCAATCTTCTTATACAAACCCACCGAGGTTTGGGGCCAAAATGGGCCAAACCCGGCGGTCTTCACTGAAACATCAGCGCGGACTGGTCGAAGAGCCGATGGACTGGTCGAAGAAGAAACCAGCGCGGCCATACTTGTGAAGGCCATAACTGGGCAAACTCACCAACCTAAGAGCGATGGCCTCCAACCTACTGCTTCAGAATTCTAACCAACGAGAAACGATGGTTTTTCCATTCCAACCTACTGCTTTCCAATGGTCTTTTGAAGGGAAAAACGATGAAAACAGCGGCGTTCACGCCCAAACCGAACGCCTCCGAAGTGCCAGGTGGGCCCAACTTCAGCTTGGTATGGCCTGCCATCGGTGAGTTGAACGTTGGATGCAGCACCTAGAAAAAAAAACAAAAACATGCAACAAACATCAACAAACAACAACAAACAACTAACAACAAACACACACAAAAAAACTAGAGGTCCACAAATCGAAACCTGGTACTGCATATCATGTCCTGTCCTGTCCGCTCATGGAGTCGCGTGACTGAGAAAACATGATGAACTTCAGCCCACTATGAGGTCCGTGCCTGACCTGTAGGGGAGATGGGTGAAGATGAACAGCTCAGGTGACGAACAGCTCGCTCAGCGGGACCGAACGACGCCCGAGCCGGAAAACGCTCGAAGGACGGCTCGAGTGGGGGCCCCAGAGCAGAGTCGGGCCAGGACCTGAACATGTCCTCTCAGTGATAGTGGTTGAAACATGTCAAAACCTCTTTACTACTAGTAACAAGGACATCGCTACTAGGAGCAAGGGCCTTACTACTAGGAACAAGAAGCCAGTAGAAACAAGTGCATCGCTACTAGTAACAAGTGCCTTACTAGTAGTAACAAGAAGCTATTAGAAACAAGTGCCACGCTACTAGTAACAAGTGCCTTACTAGTAGTAACAAGAAGCTACTAGGAACAAGAAACAAGCGCATCCGACCATTCCAGGACGTCGATAATGAATGCCATGCCCGAACGTGCCGGGCAGAATGCGAACGATCTGCTTCATTTAGTTGTTTATCTGCTTCATTCTCTTCCACAAAGAAACTCCCACAGACTCTAGCATCTGTAGCATATCTGCCGCATCACTGTTTTATCAGAAACGTCATCATCTTGCACTCAGTTCCATCTTCGATAATTGCTTCACCCAACAGACCCAAGAAAACTCGCTCCACGGCAAACACAGTTGCCAGGGCAACAGAAATAGAACTACAGTGGTTTCAAAGTAGATGGCACTGGCACCCCTACATGTCTAGATGGGGGTCCACTACTAAACCACCCAACGGACCGGGGGCCCAGACCTGCCATCGCACCTCTGAAACCTGTAATTCGGTGTTGTATGTTCCTCTTTCTGCCGCCACATCGACGAGTCGACCGACGAGTCGACCATGTCGTAACGAGCTTCGGCGACCGAGACGTTCGCGCCAGCCTGTGAAGAGCCGGTAAAGGAGGGTGAACATGTCATCCTCAGGCAACGCGGACGAGTGAAACACCGGACACGCGGAAGAACGAACGCAGCGTGCAGCTGTGGCGAGGTTCGCCTCTCCGAGTGCGTTGGAAGTGGAAGACCTGATTGAGGACAAATGGTCCTCCACGGGGGGCCGATGTTCCATGTCCAGTGAGTCAAAGTGTATACGATGATTGATTTTAAAGCACAACTTCAGAACAATCAGGTCCGTCCCATGGGGTTTGGACCCCACCGGTTTGGGCTGATCGCAATACACGGCGATGCCAAACGTCGGCAGTAAGCTCATCTTCCTGAATGGCACCTTCCGGCGTGGTACCATTGTCCCTGCTCATGCTTCATGCTTCATGCTTCATTCATTCATGCGACGGTTCCGAACCACATAACTGAATGCAGCCCACAATGTAGCATATACCAGGACCTTCCAAGAGGTGTCTATACATAGCCTCTTAGTGGTTAAGGGGTGTCAAGAAACCACCTGTTGGAAGGTGCTGGTATATAATATCTTATCAATAGGACCAAAGGCTTGTGTTCTGATCTGTTCTGATACTGGGCTGGGGGAACAACCCAGTACACAACTCCGCTGGGATCTGAACCGCCCGATGTCCTGTGATCTCCGCTGTGGTTTCGAAACCGCCCGATTCCCTGTGTCTCTAAACAGGCTGAATGTCTTCACTAAGGTTGTAGTGGTGTCTTGATTTACCCTTTATTCGATGTATTAAACCTTTGGTAGATGGATCCAACTAGCGGACATGGTTGGAAAGGAGAACCTGCAAGTGTGGATGGACTACCGAGCATGGGGCCTGCATATTGAGCTTCAAGAGCGTTCCTCCTCAGTTTGTGTGCTTTCTGCTTGTGAAAAAAGACAGCAAGTTCTCTTTTCAATCCAACTCGTTTGTCTTCTTGGCACGTGTCTCCCTCTAAGGAAGCTCCCCCCTGATCTGGTGTTTCCCGCACCTTCTAGTGCCAACCATCCACCCTGGCCCACTTTCCCGAAAAAGACTCCCATAGCGTTCATTCCTTTGAGGCAAGGCTCCAAGGAAGAGTCACCATGCAGATTGATCAGTGCCCACTCCATGGCCGGTCGCATGGCAAAGGTCTTGATGCTACACTCCTGAGCGCCGGAGTTTGCAAACAAGGAGTTGGCCTGCAGACCACAAAACGGAGTTGGTAGCCAAAAACGTTGGCATCCCGGAGAAACGTAGGTGCTGCAAACAAGCAAAGCAAACGTTGGCCTTGAGCCTTGTGACACTTCCAATAAGCCGGCATGTTTTGTGAATGTGTTCGTTTTGGGTGTTCTTCCATGTCTTTCAAACACTAGCATCCTCAAACGGAACAAGCACTTCGAATCCTTTCAAAGTTCATCGACAAAAATCATCGGTTGTCCCGAAGTAGGAAGAATCTCAAACGCAATAGGAAACTGCTCATACTTTGGGATTGGATCATATACATTTATAATGTTATATATTCGCTATTGATTTCTATATACTTCCACAGAGTTGTACAGTTGCAAGGCTTTGGGATTTGCTAGTTACTAGTTTTAACATGTCTTGGCGTGACATCAAACCAAGCAGGAAAGGTGCCCAAGAATACTGCGTGCAACCAGCGCTCTGGCGCCCAAATACGGTACGAAAACGGACCGACACAGCTTCCTTAAATACCCAAATGGACGAATGGCTGTTTATAGGGAGACCCTCAAAGACCACCCCCCACCCCAAAAAGGACAACACCGTGTGACAACACCTACTCTTAAATTTGGAGTCTTTGATTTCCAAGAAACCGGCAATTGGTGTCCCCCAAAAAGAGCATGTCATTCAGATCTCCCTATCTCCTCGGCTCACGTTCAGGTCGCCCTTGACTTCACCCGCGAGCGGAGCATACGAAACGTCCTCTAAGCTGGCAGAGCTTACCATGGAGTCTTTCAGGACGTTGCGGTTACAATGCGTGATCCTGAGCGAGCCGCGCGGTCCAGCCGCGCGGTCCGCGTGTGGAAAATGGGTCGATCTCATGGGGGCTGGTTGGAAAAGGTGTTGCGAACTGGAGAACAGGTCACTGAAAGGCATTTGGTGTGCATTCTTCAGTAAACCATCTCTTGGACTCCTGCCTCTGCGGCTGAATCATCCAAATCTGTGGCATGGTTCGCATCAGTCTCCGGGCCCCTTCAGCAGTTCGGGTCCGGAGGACCGGCTATGGAGGGTCTGGATCTCCGATCTCTACCATGGAGGAAGCGATACGGATTCAGTTGGGCTAGTGGATTGAGAGGAAGAGAAGGCCCAACTGAAGGCCCTGAGGCCCATCCTCTAGGTAGGAGCTCCGTTCGTAGCTTCGTGTTACTAGTAGTAAGGATGCTCCCAGTGGCGATGCCAGGAGCCCCGATCGTAGCGTCCTTGCTCCCAGGTCGGTCCTTTTTCTTTAGGACTTTAGGACTCCCATCTGTCTAGTCGACATCGTCGACATGGACCTGTTGTGGCCCCCACGAAATGCTCCAGTCGGCTGGAAGAATGCGCCAAGCAGAATGCAATTGCATACAATTGCATGCAATTGCAAGAAGGCTGTTAGATCCTTGGGGATTCATTGAAAGCATTCCCCAACAGGGTTGTGATTGCTTGGGAGAATGCTTTCATTGAAAGCCCTGTTGGATCCCGTTGGATCCCTTCAGCCGCTCGCCCGGGTAAGGGATCTTCTTTCCGGGGATGTTGACGTCACAAGTACTGAGTGTGTCACACGCCCTCTTTTGCGTGTTGAGTACGTTGCTTCGCAGAACGTTTCACATCTTCACACATAGAATGGGTGCAAACACTCCCAACTCGAGCTAGTCAGGAATGTCGAATGGTAGCCCTTTGAGAGCCCTTTGAGTCTGGCCTTGCTCAACCTGCTCAGTCATCAACTCCCACCCGGTGGACTGCAAACAGCGAGTTCACGCTTCCCCCAAGAGCCACACCCAAACGATCTTCGGCGCGCGAAAGAATTAGATCCAAAAAAGACACTGGCGGTTTCAGTGAGAGGCGCCACTTGGCCCGTGCGTCATCCTTGGGTTTGGGTAGCTTCAAAGTCACTTCTTCCGTCTCTTCCTTCTTGTCCTGCAGCGTGCGGCAACCCCACGGGAGGACCATTCGACACGAGTGCTGATCGATCGATCCAGGTCACGGAGGGGGGGTCGATCGATGAGCGAGTCGCGGAGAGGCCTGGACGCCTAGGCGAGGCCTGGACCTTGATGTGCCTGGCTTTTTGACGAAGCCTCGGTATACCATGTAACCCTTGCTGGGCTGGTGTCTGGAAAACAAAGTGGACGTGTTAGAGTTGGAAGATCCAGGTATGTCATACATGGAGACAGTGGAGCAGGGCTCCATATCGATCCAACGCTTAGGAACTGCCAAACACACCGCAGAACCAGCGCGGGTTCCGCGGAAAAAAAAGGGCGCTGGTGGTGTGGTGGCGGATGCGAACTGAACCTCGCTCGGTGGCGGATCTTTAGACAGACGGATCTGCAGAAATCATGGATTCTCACATCATCAATAAGCGTCGAAATTCCCTTTGACACGTCGATCCACGTGGTCGGAAGCAAAAACAACACGACCGGTGAAGGTCTTCCAAGACCACTTCCCGGTGAAGGTCAAGCAAGCTCGATCTCCATTGGTATGCTTTGGTGTGTTTGTTTCTCGCTGAAATGGCATCTTCTCTGGTCGGTGCCATGAAATACTCTGAAGGACGGGCTTTCGGAGAATCCTCCCCCCGTGCGCACGCAGGTTCAACTGACAACAAACCAAATCCTGGAGGAGCTGAACCTGCAAAGGTCTAAGTAGAACAGATTAGCAAATTGAGTAGCAAACAAGTCAAAAATATCACAGTGTTTTTCTCTAGAGAGTTGTTGTTTCCACAGAAGTCTGATTACCAGTTGGCGCATCTACTTAGTGTACTTGTTGCACTTGGCATTGCACTTGGCATTTGGCTGTCTGGACTCGATGCTGGCCTTCGCATCCTTCTTGTCCTTTTTGTCCTTCTTGTTTTTTTTTGTCATCCTGGCTGTGGTTCAAAACACTGTGACATAATATCTTGACCATAGCAGGCAAAGATGAAAAGCAGGAAAGGGGTAGAGGCTGGCATGACCCTCTTTCTTCTTTCGCAAGAAAGCCAAGAAACATCAAGCCACAAGTTTCCCAACAAAACGCAACAAAAACTACCAGCACATACCAGCACCTTCAAAGAGCTCTCCATACAGACCATACACTACTTGTGGATCTCCTTTCTTCGCACCCCGACATGAAGGTCCATCTACACTCAATAAGCCAACGCAACATGTTCGCCTCAGTCACGGTGCGAATGACCGACCGACCACCCTCCTCAACGAAAGAAACCACGGTCCCACGGTCGTCGCCTTTTGATTGACTTTGTACCCACGAGCTTTGAGAAGCTCCTGGCGCCACCAACGCGAACACGGCATGGGGAGAACCACCCGATGAGAAGCACCCGAACCGGGAGGTACGAAAGATGCCATGTTTCACACTGGTGGGAATGCTTGGTGATAGAGCTGGTTGATCTCCAAAATGACGAACTGGTTGGGTCACCATTCTCCCACCTTTCATCTTCCCGCATTGGGAGAAAACAAGCACGGCTGGAAAGATCCCTTTCTGACCAAGTCCACTTCGAGGTCGAAATCCCGTCAGCTTACGCCCCCCCACCCCAGCTATAAAACGTATAAAAGGGCACACTGCCTCATCAGATCTCATCAGTCTCTCTCACACCCGAAATCGAATGACGTCATCGATCCCGGCCTCACGAGGCCGCAAGCAGCTTCCATCGCGTTCAGTTCTCCGTCTACCGACCTTCTGGGAAAAAGACACACGCACTCGAATTGCTCGAAGTATGGAGATGGGTCCCGACGCTGCCGTCTTCTTCGACGCTCGGGCTGGCGGTCCTGTCGGTTGGAGATGCCATGTGCCATCCAATCTGGTAACCTCGGTCGTTTCTCCGTGCGACGGGTCCGTCACCCAGGCCGCCCTTGGAAAATGAAGATGACATACCTTTTCATACCTTTTGCATCTGTTCATATTGGGGGACAACAATGGTTAAAGGCATTGTGGTAGACTGAAGGTTATCCACTGACTGGGTGGCGAAAGGTTCACCATCTATCGGATACAAAGAAAGCTGATATATCCATACCTGGTTCTTCAAAGTGACCTTTTAAGAACCTGGTTTGAGGTCACTTAAGCCTCCTAAGGGTCACTTGGGAACCTTCAAAAGGTCACTTTGAAGAAGCTGGTATATGAGCTCCTCTGATCCAACAAAGATTCAACAAAATCACCGAACGGTCCGCCTTGTTGGATTTCAAGTGAGGCTTCACCAATACCTCCTAGGAATTTCCCAAGAAGTCCCCTTCTTCATCCTTCTTCCAGGGGGGAAAAAATGCCTGGGAGGTCTCCCTGTTTGAGCCACGCAATCATGTCCATCTTTAGAACTTGGTCGCTGGAACATCCAGCAAGCTGGGAACCCGATGTTGTTTTGCTAAGATTTGCTCAGCAAGATTGGTGGACATAGGTGGAACTGGATGGACCACTGCGGCTCCAAGAGCCGCGTTTTCTGGATGGACCCATGTTGTCCCCATGCTGACACGAACGACACTGCTTTCGTGGCTCACAGCGTTCAGAACAAAACCGCTCTGCAGCATGATGCAGCCCCTGTACTGAGATCAATGACATCAATGACTTAGCCACTGAGCCGTGTCCGACTACTAGTAGTTCCTGTGCTTGCAGATGTTTACACGTGCTCTTCACTTTTTGAGTCCATGTTGTTCCATTTTAGTTTCATTCGTTCCACTGGAAAACAGACCAAAGGAAACCTCCTCCACACCCCTGAATTCGACACCATGGCCTGGACGCATCGCCTGGACGAGCACATGACGCAAACTCACCCAGCAAGCCACTCATGCTCTCGCTGCTGAATCTTCGACACCAAGCGTTGCATCTCTACCTGGGGAACCCGTGTAGGTTCCAATGCTACACATGGAGGGGCGAAGGCCTGGGGGGATACTGGGAGTTAGATACAACCCAACCAAAAGGACACCGGATCCTGGATCCTCCAAAAGCCCTCCACTTGGGAATCGGCTTCTAAGGCGGCGCCAGGGCGGCGGCTTGGCCGTTTTGAGGCCACTGAACCGTGTCTTCCATGTGTTCGGTTTGCAACGAAACATGCTTAAGCCTTTTTGGGTGAATGCCCGTTCGCTGACTCTGATTGGCGCACGCGCCACGCCCGCGCCGGCCGCCGGCCGCACGTGGCCTTTTTCCCGTTGCGAATCGCTCTTGAAACACTTGCCGCGTAGGAAATTTGCTCCCACGCAATGTAGAAGATTCCGCGGCCTGTCGCCGCGCTTCGCATGCCACCTTGCAGTGAAGACCCACAGTCTCAGCCCAGACTACATGCCGGGCAAAAACAGCATGGAGAGGACTCGGGTGTTCGACTTCGAGTGTCTCTCACTCGTGCTGAAGGCTGAAAGACATGTATCTAAGAGACTTGTGGGAAGAAAGAAGTCCACTTCGCCCTCCAGATCCGACCCAGACTCCGACGGTATACTATCAACGCTGGTAGACTGTCGTCACGGTTCCCGCGTTCGTCGTGGTCTTCAGGTCCGGACATGACCTGTAGGGCCCTGTAGGGCAGCCGGCCAGTAGGGCAGCCGGTGTTTCTGACAAAGACTAAAGAGTTCAATTGGCCTAATTGGCCATGCGAAAGTGTCCAGCCTTCACGAAAGCACCACGAAAGAAGTTGCTTGGGGGAGCCATCTTACCAAGCGACTCCATCGGTTCATCGTGTCAGGCTTGGTTGGTCTGGTTTGGAACGCCAAACATTCAATATTTTAGTCCTAAATAGCTCGTGAAAAAAATAGAAAAACACATCTCGAAACCAAACCATGCATGTGGGCATGAGTCCCACCAATTTCTGGCATTTGGCCATGCCACGGATCCGAAAGTGGAACGACACACCGGCCATGCCACGCTGTGCGTGGATCTGCGTGCATCAGACGAAAAACCGAGCGCACTTTTGACGCTGTGAGAAGTGTCATGTCCAAGTCGCTGCTGTCTCTGCACAGTTGACCTTTACTTCTCTGCTCATTGTATATATTATGCAGGCTCAATGGCTAAAAATACCAATCGACATTGAGCAGTTGATCTATGTTGATCTATGATCTATCAGCCAATTTGATTCGTTGGAAACAGTATAGGATGAAACTGGAATTCCTATCCTTCGCACCGACTTAGTCAGAAAGCGGGTTCCCCAGTGTGTATAGCTGGACCCCCGGGTAGGAGCTTCAAGACGATTCGACGATTCGCACCTAATTATTGGCCGAACGATCCTTCATAGGTCTAAAGCCAAAAAAACATGCGGTGAGGATGACTGTCCGAACTGTGCCGTGGCCACTGCCTCAGTGTGTCCAAAATGGCCTGGATCACAAACCGGGCATAAGGCCGGCGCCGAGCTTCCTCTTGCAAGTAGGCATGCACCTCGGGGTCCTCAGGCTTCCGCGTCCGGTTCCTGAGATATTGGCTCAGCTGATCACGCATCTTCCGACGTCTGGCCTTTCGGGGGCGAGCAAAGTCCATGTCTGCGTGAGTCTGGTGGCAGAATCCGCAATCTTTGCCCTTCCTTGAGACGGTGCTGACGGGGGGAAAAACGATCCAATCCCTTGGCCCTCCCAGTAAAAGATGCCCTGTTTTCGGGGGAAAACTCACACCCACAGGGGAAATCAACATGACCCGATCAACCAAATACCAGGTGTCCCACATCCATAGTAAGAATGGAAAAGGACGCAAGCCTCCGCGCACTGACACACATGCTCCGCACGCGGGGAGTTTGCTACGACCGCGTCTACCGCCTGTGCTGAAGACCACAGTTGTGTGGAGAAAAGACTCTCCTCCAAGCTGATAACGGTCGATCTTGAGTCCCAGGGCATTGCACATGGAGCTTGCATGATACACACAGGCATAGCATCCACTCCGTCCAGTGCCACAGCTTCCACGTCCATCTCCGGTTGAAACATGTTGAAACCACCTCGGAAAGATCAAAGGTTCCTTTTCCTGAGCCAAAAGATGCGAAGAAAATGCGAACGCGGAGAAAATGCCATGAAGATCCCAAGGTTCGATCCTAATTGTCTTCACCCCCAGACACTTATGGATCCTATGGAGGGGTCTGGGGTCGAACCAATCCGATGTTGAGGACCAGTCGAGCAACGGAGCGTCTGGGTCCAAAGCCGACTCATGCCGGCTCGCACCAGTCTGCTTGACCATCCAACCGACTTCGCTTGTTTCTCTCCGCTCCGCAGCAAAACCCTGCTCCACCGAGCTCGCATCAACGCCCGCGCCTCCTTGCAGCTCAAACCCTCCGCTCGCATGGCACTGAAAATGTCATTCTTCAAGTCCTGGCAGTTGAACCCAGTGCCAAATTACATCAGTGGATGAGTTGAACCCCTGGAACCGTGCCGCTCGCATGGTGATGAATTCTCGTTTCCAGGGGTTGTCAAAGGGTCGAGTTGTCTGCTTGACCAAAGCAAATGACAACCGTCAACCAACGGGTCCCACACCGGGGAAACCCGTTGGTTGACCGAGTGGATAGTCTCCGCAAGGAGCCTCGGGGTCTGGGGGCCAGGTTTCACCCAGCAAAGTCTTAGACCAACACCCGCAGCACCTCCATTTCGGAGACTAAAATGGGCAGTGGCCAGTTCATGGGATTCAACGATTCAGCGCTGTCAAGCACCTCAGTACAGGAATCTTCCATCTCCGGCCGCCCAGAAGTAGTTTTCAATGGGCTGCAAATACTCTTGCCCACTTACTAAAGGTTTTGATTTCCACGCATCTCTGAATTTAGGATGGAATATTGGACACAAGCAATTCTTGGCGATGCCAAAAGCATACATGAGAACATGGATTCGCTGTCCAGGAAGCCGTAAAAAAAAAAGAAGTGCTATTCCCCATGCCAGGGGATTCATCCATAGGGATAACGATTCACCTTAGGCAAAACTATAGGATAACATAAGCCTTGCCGAGATCTCACCTAATGCTTCATCAGTGAGGGTCCTCTTCGCAACGATCCTGACATGCATCATAAAGATCATGCAATCCTCATGTAAAGTGAAGACGCAAAACAGTATGCGCCTAGGTGCCAATACAATCAACGAATTAGATTCACTTGTTTCCTGAAATATGTGACTGCGAAGGATGCCATGATCGGGCGTCGTGATTTCTGGGTCCGTCCAACAGTACTGTTGTTACGTTTGGATATCACCCCCAGTAAGAGTCAAGGGTTGCTATGGGGGGCTCAACAAAGTATCATGATCAATATTCATGGATGATTCCTGGCAGTTGCTGGGTGGAGAATATCCATGAAGTATACATCAGTAAAACCATGGGAAAACTGGCCCTCAGCTGGGCAGCTGAAATCCGCCCCTCCCCCCGCAGTCATCCTGTTCGTCTGTCATCCTGTGTTCGGCTAGATCCAGAAAACCCATCAGAGACCAACAGCACAGCACCACTGCGCGGATTATTGGACTGACTCACCCTCCCCCCCGGGCCCGGTCGAAAGCATTCGTCGCCCGGTCGAGCTTCGCGCGGATGGCGAGGCCCGCCTGGAGCTTCTGCATTTCACCTCGGGAGCTGCTTCCACCACAGCTGAAGGTAGAAAGTTCATTTAAGGGAACTCCATAGTGATTGAAATGTTCAAGAAAATGTGGCTCACCTCAAGCAATAACCAGGCAAGCATAGTGCTTGAAAACAATTCGTGTGAACATGGTTACCCCTATCAGACTTGTCTCCTCTGCTGCGCACTGCACCAGATGTGCCATACAGATCTACTACACTCCCCGTCAGTTCAAACAAACAATTCAGCACCACAATGAAGGAGTTTTGGAGGATTCGCATATTTTTAGTACACCCTGTGTTTAGTACACCTGGGAAAACACACATGTTTCAAACCACAGAACGTGTGGAGGGATACCATGATCCAATATATATGTTAGCAGGTTCCCAGGTTCTGTGTCTCTTTGCTCGCTTCCAAGCCTGCGGGAGCTGAATTGATTTAAGGGAACATCTGCAGGAAACCCATGGGGCCTCGCATTCCTGGCCAGACATGTCTAAAATGTCCGTGCCTAGAAGATATTTGCAAAAGTCTCGCAGCAATCACCAGCTGCACGCAGCAATCCACCATGGTTTTGGGGGGGTGAACACCATGGTTTCTATAGATGTTCCCTTAAACATCCTTAAGCCCATTCATTGACTGAGGCGACCATCCAAGGGCGGCCCTGGTGCCCGACCCCCCCCCATCCTCCCATCCTCTCGAACGATCGGAAACTGCTCAGATCCGAGACGGAAAAAAACCCGGTGTTCGAAAAGACCAACTGACTGGTGCGTCGAAAGCAGGGTGGCTGAGGGTGGCTGGATCCAGAATCACTACCAGCACCCTCCAACAGGTCTCCGAAATGGAGGCTTTTGCTGACTTAAAAGTCGCAGGTGGTGACCTGTTGGAGTGTGCAGGTAGAGAGGAACCGAGCGAAGGCGAAACTTCTTCCCTGATTCCCTACGACTCGTCGCCGTCAGCAAATCCATCCCAGACGTTTCGAAGTATCCAAATCTCCTTCTCAGAACGAATGTGAATTGGATCGAATGTCTTCGAAGAAGACCCAAACAGTAGACGCCGAAAGGAAAAAACACGTTAAACCATGAATCAAACCATATATAAACATGTCCTTCGAATTGTTATATGGTTGATGTATATAACCATTATAAACAGACTTTAAACCATTATAATTCCACCATACCAGCACCACCCATTTTTTAGGGTGCTTGATCGTTCCATCTGTCCGAGTGGGGATGGCCCGACCCGGCTCGTGCGAACAGGGCGATTTAGGACACACGGTGACCTCGAACGTCGAAAGACAGACACGACCCGTCTGGGACTGCCAGTCCGGACTGCATCTCCGACCTTCCTGGCAGCACCCGAACAGGTGCGGTCAGTCCGGCCGTCCCAAACAGGTCGTGGTGTCTGGGAATCAAACACACCCTCTTTGTCGACATGGTCAATGGCTCTGTTCGCCGCTCTCTCCAAGTTCTTGCTCGACGGCCCCGTCTCTTTTCGCCAGCACACTGGCCGCTGCCGCTTTCGCTCGCTCTGGGTCCTGAAGAAACAAGGGGGGCAGTCTGACGGTGGATCAAGAATGATCAATATTCAATCAGCAACCTGGATTTGCCCAGGAAGCCTGGAAAAAAAGTAAATTTCCCAGGTGTGGGGATTTACATGGATTTACCCAGTTCGGGAAAAGAACAAATTCCCTTTAAGCAAAACCCGGGCAACAAATGCGCCAGGGCAACAAGACTCCTTGAAAACTATCCGGGGCACAGTTGATGATGACGCTTGTGTCGGATGCAGGCCTACATCTCAGTCGGATGCAGGCTGTTGTCCGAATCTGCTGTCCGACTGTGGGCTGATCATGGGCAACATGTCTAGACCCCAAACACGACTAATGGGACTGCCATATATATATGCATGTACATTGACCCCCGACTTCAACCACCCCTGGCCTGATCGGCAGTCCTATGGCAGTCCCATTAGTCGTGTCTGGGAATCAAAAACACCCTCTTGATTCAATCAGATTCCCCATTGGGGATTGAAGCACCTCGGTGATCTATATCTATGTATTGAAGCACGTCTCCCAGACCGGTGCATCCAGGATCAACCCTGAATCACCCCAATTCATGAGAAACGACCAAAAGGCTTTCAGTCACTCACAGTCACACGAGGATCTGGGAGTTGCTTAAGGAATTGGAAAACACAATTGAAAAAACATGCAAAATCAACATATCATTTTGCCGAACATGCTTCACCCACGAAAAATAGAAAGCACCTTAAGCAAAAACAGGGGAGCCCGTTCTTCTGAGGCAGCACTTAAGACCAGATGTTTAGAAAAAGGAGGTTCTCAGTTCTCAACCACCTCTAGAGCTGCGTGGTTACCCTGCAAGACTCATAGAAGTGGACCCCAAGGGCCATTGCCCGGTCTTCTCTTGAAACATCCACAGGATGTTTAAATGATTGGTGCATGGTCTCCCATAAATCCCAAGTCCCACACAGACCAACAAAGACACCAGCAAGTGTCTAACACCAAGTGAAAAGTGAACATATGTAAAAGCAAAAACAACACATGTCCCAGCACTGCAGAATTTCCCTAAAACCAAGTGTCTAAGAGCATCTCCAAGATGATATTCTTCTCGCGGCCCTTGAGTTTCTTCGTCTGTGCCTGGTTGGTGTTCTTCGCTTCGCTCCATCAGCCAGTGCCGCTGATTCCGGGGGCTGGTTAGGAGTTGGAGGTCTGGAGTAGCCAAGATGGGCCCGTCAGGTGCTTGTTTCACCAAGATGGGTTCCACGTTGTTCGGGCGGAAGTGGACGAGAATAGATCCACCAGGCAACGTGGAAGTGGAACCCATCAAACCACTTCAGGGCGGAACCACCCTCAGGGCAGGCTCTGGCTCCCCAAAACCCGATTTCGTGGGCTCATGTCGCCTTTGATGGGCGCACCCGCTCCCTGGGACGTCCCCCCACGTCCTGCTCCGTGGGCTGAAGCAACAGGAAGCAAGTTCGAAGGACCCACCTTTTGTGAAGTAGATCTGAGACCCTTAAGGCTCCGAGTAGCTTCTGAGGATGTGGAGGTGCCAGGAGGGTATACAATGGTGTAAAGAGCTTCTGAGGAGGTACTTGAAGCCCCTAATAGTATATCATTGTATATCTGATGTCTCTGAGAATGAGAAGACCACGGAACCTTCCGGCAACAACTTCCAATGGTTTGCGCACCATGGCCCGATGTCCTTACAAGGAAAAACACCACATGTTTTCGTCAAGCACATGATCTACAATGATCCAAACATATCCAAACACACCTGGCCGAGCTTCCCACGCCTGCCCTCCCACGCCCCTTGGCGCGCGACACCTGTCGCGGAAGCGCGACTTTCCAGGCGCCTCGGTGACCCGGAACTTGGAGGTGAGCCGCTCACACTCCTCGAGAAGCTCCGACTCCTGATCCAGACCTGAAGTGCCAAGTGTCTGAACGACCCAAAAAACCCGAGCGGGATGGTTCACTGGATGCTTCATGGACCCCCCTGGATGATGGATCCTCAATCGAAAAGACCTGGACATGAATTCTGCGATGTGTCGGAGGGGTGTGGGTCGTTGGGGTCCGCTGGTTTCTGACCCCCATTCACTTGCGCCGCTAGGCCACCCAATGCAGCTTTTGCGGCTCCGCCCTTTTTTTAAAGACGACCCTTTTCTCAAAACGGAACTTCATGGTGAACAGGTTGAATTTCAGCGGAACCAATCAAGGTCTCAGCTGAACCTATACCGCCAGTCAACCACCAATAGAATAGCCATAGTGGATCATAGTAGCATAGTCCACCAACACAATCTGAAACCCAATCAAAGGGACCCTTGTGGGCTCCTCCTTCTTAACATCAAATCCACCAGTTTCGTAGCGCTGCAGACTTCCGACACGTCCTGCGGGACGGTCAAGTTCATCCCAAAACCACACCTTCTGGATCCCTTGGAATCCAAGATGATCCAAGTACCTTCTCAGGTACGGTGAGGACGGAGACTATTTATGTCGGCGCCATTGTCGAGCCCAGTCGTACCTCCTGAGAAGGCAGTGGATCCTAGGGGATGGAGCTACCGGGCCAAAACGAAAGGAACTTCTCTCAGACGCAGACCTCTCCTTAGGAGGCACGAACCAAAACTTCTTCGCTAGCCAGGTGACCCAAGTGACCCATTGGATGGTCCAGGTATATCTCCTTGGATCTTCCTGGCCTGTGCGTCCCATATATGCATGCCTGTTCATCACCCTAGCAGCGTTTCGCCAAGGTTGGCAGGTTCATATCATGCCCAAAATAAGGATCCCAAGGTTGGCATATGGCTGAGAATCACCCGGAGCCCCCAATCCCCCGGTAGACCAACCTCCCAGGCGCTCCCAGGTTTCTGTTGATGCTCGGTGTTGATGTGAAAAAGGCCCCTCAATCGGTGCTTGAGTGCAGCTGGGTCCTCTTCCATCCGTGCGACTCCCACGTTCCTCCATCCGGGCGGCTCATGCGACTTCGAGCGGAGATGTGCGACATCTTGGACCTGTTCGGCGCAGGTAGACTCACCAGGCAGGAACTGCTGGAGAAACCCATGTGGGTCGACTCACCAGGTCCAGCAGTGGGGTCAGTGCCTGTCTGGTACCGGTATGTGCGGCTGCCATGCCTTGGTCACTGCACCGAAAAACACCAATCAAAAGGATGTCACGTGCCGGTCCGGGAAACTTCCGGAACCTTGGACAAAACAAACCATCTTCCCCCCAAGAAACTGCCACAAGCAGCGGTCCTTGCATCCGAGCCTGTCCTATGTGGTCCACCCCCCCCGGTGGTCTAGCCTAGTTCCAGAGCTCTTTCGAATTCAAAAGGGAACCCAAATATCCGGCCGTGGGTCCAAGCCCGGGCACCCTGGTTGTTTTCCAACGAACATGAGCAGATTATAATACAGATTCCTCTATGTTCGGGATGTCAACGGAATCCATGAGGACTGGTGGGGAAGGTTTTGAGCTATATTCCACCTTTTGGATGTTAGTCGGGAAACCCATGTTATCCACTGACTGGATAGGTCTTCCTGTCGGCTTGAAGGCTCTGGGTCCGCTGAAAACAAATCTCAGACCGGTGGAAGCAAGGCACATTTTTCTCAGAATGGACTGCCTGAACCCATTCCACCATGATGGCACCAAAAGATGTCAGAAGGGCAGCTCAAATTGAAGCTTACACACCGTTTTGCATGCATCTACACCTCCAATCAAGGCTGTGAATATCTGTGAATACTGGCTCCAGACCCCAGGACCCGGTTCGCATGGTGGAATATGGTAAGTCATAGCACCCACAGCTTTGGTTCTTGCTGATCGGTTGACCTCCTTAGTAGTCTGTTCTATTTACTTTTCGCTGGTCCACCAGAGTCCGTTTGGGCAGTTCGAACCCTTTCAACTCTTATATCTGAACCACGATGAAAACAAACAACAGCAGGAACATCCTGAAGTAACCAGTTCAGGAATGATTCAGCAGGTACGTCTACACAAAGAAAACAACCGCACAATCCCAAACAGCACCACTCTCTTTCTCTTTCTTTCTCTCTCTCTCTCTCTCTTTCTCACTCTTCTTCTGTGCCCAGAAGAAACTCTCTCTTCGTTCTAACCCTCATTCGGTCCAAGTGACACGTACCACGCGAATTCCTGGCGGTAGTCCCACGGCATGGGCGCGCCGCTACGGAGCACGGCCAAGGTCACCAAGCAGCGACAGGCCAGGGCATCCGGATGGGCGTCGTCGACGAGGCCCAAAACCTGGGAGAGTTCAAGACCCCAGTGGCTTAGATGTCACACCCCCACAAGCTTGAAGAGGCTAGGTTTTACAATCCAAATTTGGGGGATGAATTTGTTCTTTACAATCCAAATGAAGGATGTATGTTTTCTTTTACAATCCATGTCTGTTTTTTCAAATCAATCAAGAGTCTAGAATATAGGTTTCCTGGCGCACCATTGATTTGATAGCCTGAATCCCGAACCACCGTTGTTGTACTAAGAGTTGTACACCACAAAACCAGGTCAGCTGAACTCTTTGAATGGTCCAACCGAAGGCTATTAGGGTTGTTGTTGTTGTTGTTGTTGTTGTTGTTGTTGTTGAACTGGACCTCCTTGGACGCCCAGAACGGATGATCCCGGTATCAAAATATACATTGATTGTACCTAGCACTTCCAACGGGTGCCCAATGGAGACCTGTAAGTAGGGTCCGTGTTTGTCTATTGGACACCCAGAACGGATGATCCTGGTAGTGTTTGTTTTGCAGATGATCAATTATTGCAAATGCCTGTAGCGCTTCACCCTAAGAGAAACAACTTTCAGAAACTGCCACTCTCACCCCGAGGTGTTCTTCTTCTGCGGCATCTCGTCTCCCAAGAAAGCAAGATGCATGAGAAACCATTGCATACCGACGAGTGAACAGCCACACCTTAATACATCTAAACACTCCACTTCACTCAGCCCCAACCATGACCCCCTCAAGTGTTGGGTCTCTTTCACCTAGCACCCACTGCTTTCATGTGCCGCACTGAAGCGAAGCCCGCTGTGCTTCGGTCCGACGCTCGAGCTCGAGCTCGCCTTGAGGATCTGGGCCTCCTCCTCATTCAGCTCCGCGTCCGTGCCGACCGCATGCACCAGCGAGCACACGCCTGGACGTCGGTTTTGGGGCGAAACAACACGAGCAGATCACCATAAGCCTTTGAGTGCTTTGTCTTTGTTGTTTCTTTTCGGCTTTGAGGAGTATTTTTGTTGAACACAGACTGGATTCGTCTGGACAGTGGCCCATTTTGAGACCATCCATGAGACAGAGTCTGAAGAGTTACATTGAAAATGATCCTGTACCACCAACCACGGAGTTCGGGTGTTGTTTTTTCCTTTAACACACCAGAATATCCTATATGTCTTGATCTATGTCATTTTACGGTCCAATCACCAGCCCATCACCACATGGGATTCAGATCACTCATGTTTTCCGTCCCTCGATCCTGGCGCTCGGGACCGGAAAACGAGCCGCTGCCGCTGTCCTCATGGCATGCATAAGACGCCCCTGGTGCGAATTCAAACACCCGGGGCCCCTCTCGACCAATCCGATTCCATCCTGAAGTGTGTAACAGGTTCTGTGCAACAAGTTGACAACACAAAATTGCTATCCTTGCGATGTTTCTTTACCAATTAACAATACAAACCGCTGTGCTGATTGGTCCAGCAGTGTCATCGCCTTCGTAGTCCCGGGCCAAAAAGCGCAGGAGCAACAAATACCTCACTGGCAGGAGCTACTCATCACAGCGAACGGACGCGGACGATGCTTTTTCGGTCGATTTGGGCATCGCTTCATGGATGCAGGAAGGGATCAACTTCCTAAACTCCAATCAAAAGAGAGCACAGCCCTACCCAGGAGAGGCATAGGTGCCCAGACTTCTTGCGTCAAACTGTCTTGACGGCCTGGAATGACCCAGGTCTTCGAATCTTAGGTCATTTGAAGTCGTTTGACCTCAGGAGCTTGCCACAAATGAACATCATGAACTTCCACCAGCGATTGGAGCTCTCTGAGGGACTGGTTCCAAACCAACTGGGAGACTCTTAAGATCTCTTAAAGCACAGGGCTTCATGCTCAGCGCATGGTAAAGCGCGATTTGAGAGGAAGGTCACTGCGAAGGGATTCGCTTAGACGAAGGGATTCGCCCTGATTCCCCGCCCCAAACGCCCGGTTCTCCCCAATTCGGATCTCCCAGGCACAAGGCAGAAGCAAAGGATGGAGCAATCAGGAAGCCTTTGGACACGTGCACCTCGTACTTAAAGTACGTCACCTGAAAAAAAGGTTCCGCGGTCGCGGTTGCGAAAACGGGACGTGGCACCGGAGGTACGCGTGTTCTTCTTGGTTCTTCTTGGTTCTTCTTCTTCTTCTTCTTCTTCCTGCAACGTCCTGATATATGGGGACCAAGGAAACTCGGAGGGAGGGAGAAAGGGAGGGAGGAAGGAAGGGGAGGCAGGTTGGAGTGCGGACTCTGGACCGATCTACTTCGATTGGATGGTTGGCATGTGCCTCTGCCTGTGACCGAAACAGACCAAAACCACATTCGAACAAATCCGTCAATTGCTTCTCTCCCCTCCTTTTGCAGAAGTCCAACATTCGTGTTATTTTCATATAGATCCGATTCGATATGATTCAGTGGTTCACTGGGTCCTCCTGCTTCGGTTTCTTGGAGTTTCCAAGCAGGACCGCCGGTGAAAGACTGACGGGTGGTGTGTGGCGAAAAAAAAGCCAAGCGCATGCAACGCCAAGCCTGAAAGCATCCCAAAAAATCCATACCACTTACCTACTATGAACCCCAGGTCAAACACCCCAAGATGAAGGTTTTTGTCCAAATACTAGATGGAGTCTTTAGGAATGAGAGATCCTGGCCCGTGGATAGAGAGAATCACCGCCCACCTGGACGCCTAGGATGACAGGTGTGAATGACTTCAGTCCTAGACCAGTCCGCCCTTCAGACCCTTCCGACGAAGTCCAAGGTCCAGATCCAAAGACCCAAACACCCAACAGTTTGGGGAGTGTACCCATCTGTGAAAACTCTCCCATGGGCAGAAACGGATCCTATAGATGACTCGTCTTCTCCAACTGATCTTGCTTCTAATGCACTCAACATCCACGATTTGTTCAACATATAGTGGATTGAGAGTAGATGGCACAGACCCCAATGTCGGTGCTTTTGTATGACCCCCCATACGCAAAGGACATCTTGGGGTTGCCATCGAACCTCTGCCACCTCTGCGACCTCCGCCCCGGGATTTCCCGCATTGGATCGGCCGTTCGGCACGAAAAACGTGACCGAGGACCACCGGACGTTTGAGCCTTGGTCTTGGAGGACCAATTCCTTCCCCACTTGCCCAAGCGTTCGAAGACCTTCGGGACGGCGGCGGAGGGACTGGCGGAGGGAGAGTGGCAGAAATATCGTGAAAATCGACAGTTTGGAGGGCTGAAGTAGCATTAAATTAAGTGGAGAAATGGACTAGAGATGACTAGAGCCAGGTGGGTTCAACATGCTTCAATAGTTTTCTTGGATAGTTCTTCATATATGTTGTTGACTTGGAAGGAATCATTCCTTCAAGCTCCGAATATCCACGCTAATTAAATTTTGTCCATGGCCCCATGGCATATGATCTCAAGCAGTTTATTTTGCGGGAAGTGAACAGGTCTCCAAAAATCCAGACGTATATCTGCAGAAGGACTGAAGGACTTGGCGAGGGATCTTCACTTCCGATTTCCTGTGAATCCGTTCGGTAGCGATGCGAAACCCTTGGGGCAAGTGGTGATCCCTTTGGGGAGCCGGCGGGGTCTCTCATTAGGAGAACTAAGATCTCTTCATGTGGGATAAGTATTGGTTCAAGGGCAGCTCATGCTTCAAAGAGTATGCACCAGCTGCTTCCGTTCGGGGTTACCAATGGACCACCCTACACTGCTGAAAAAGGTCACCAGACAGGACACCCAAACAGGGAGTGCCTCTGCATGCTCTGCGTGTTTTGTGTTCCATCTGTCTCATTCTGTCACTAGAGGAGCGGACATGTACTGCATTCCCACATTAACGAACCAAAAGGTGGTCAGTCCAGTGTTACCCCCTTTGTATATGAATCATATCTTTATTGGGTCTATCCTATTACCTGTAACAGTGGATGATGATGGGGCCTGGTTGCAGGCCTTGTCAAATGTATACTCATTGTTTACTGACCGCTACAGGTCAGTTCGGACAGATCATGAGATCCCTAGAAGTCCAGTTCCACTGTTTTCGGGGCACCACCCAAGTGTGAAGTTCCTTGACTCGGGATCACCGTTCGTCAGACCGTTTTAACAATCGACTGGACTCCAGGGATACCTTTGTTTGGGGGGGCGCCGTGCCCCTTTCCGTGGATTCCGTGCCGAAACAACGGGGATTCCACTTCTTGAGTGCCTGGATACGCTTCACTTTGTACCGAGACCGGCTGACCTGGTGTAGCGCGTTCTCACCCGAAAAGCCAAGGGTTCTGACTGAGGGGACCCAGTTCGAGACACATATGAAAATCGCCATGATCCGCAACACATGGCATGCCAGTGGCCCTCAAATCCAGGAAAAATATGGGTCTTTCACGTGCAACAAAAACACGTTTTCTGCCGGGGAAAAGATGGAAAAGCAGATCAAAGGGACCTGTGGGGCCCCTGGTGACCAAACGCTTGCGCTGTGAGGCCACTCTCCTCACCCACCGCAGCAAGGACTGAGGACGCCCGACAATCTCAGTGGTGAATGGACGACCTTCCATCGGCAGGTCTCCCTTCGAACGATGGGGGATGACTCTTGCTCCGATCAGGTTTCGTTGATGGTCCCAGACTCTCCGTTCACAGGCCGACCAGTCCCTGAAAACCGGGATTGGTTTGGGTCCAGACCCCTGACCAGTTCGGATTCGGGTGAGGCCAAAGGTTCAGGTCCAGGAGCGGCCAGTACCCGTCACCGCTGGTGTAAGGCCGGTCGAAACGAACCGACGAGGACCAGTTGCGCCGGTCGAATCCTTCGGTGCAGGGTGAACTCTTCAAATGCGGGAGAAAACCGGCGAAAAAGAAAGCACAGTCAGTGACCCAAGAGAACGACGCTCCTCCATATAGAATTCTGAGAATGTTTGCCTACATTGAACCCCCAAAGAGGACCAATGTAGGCAAATCTTCCACGCATGGAGTGTTTGGTTTCTACACTGCAATGTGTGTTTGTTGTTTTCTGGTGTGAACAAACATGTTTCAGTTTGTTCACACAGCTGCGGCTGCCTTTGATCGTGGGTCGGAGAGGCAAGTATTGCGGGACCAGCACGTGCAATGACTGCATCTCGTCCTTGGCGCTTGCGAGGAATGACACTTATTCCCGAAAAGGCCGATGTACTCCGATGATATCCGATGAAGATGCAAGGTCTTGATAATAGCTATAATAGCTACTAGTACTTTCTTAATAGTACAAGGTGGTGATGATTGGGAGTTGGTGCTTTGATTCCAAGCTGAATCTCCGGAAGCTTCTGAAGAATTCAGCTGTCTTGCTTTGGGAAGTGAAACATCTCACAGATCCCCAACCCAAGGCCAGGGCCTCAACGCACCAGAAGTCAACAGGCCATATACCAGCACCCTCCAACAGGTCTCCTCTGGAGGCTTTTGCTGACTTAAAAGTCGCAGGTGGTGACCTGTTGGAGGGTGCAGGTATATGATGGTATATGGGGGGAAAGAGCTGAACAGTCGGGTCCGGGCGTGCTGGAGCTATCAACGATCTGGAAGCTGGAGCTCATGTGCCCCAACCCCAGGCCTTCGCCTTTCTCATCGTGAGAAGCCAGACGAATCCAAGTTGTTCACTGACCGAAACAGGTGTCTGGCTAAACGACAGTGGCAACTGTTGGTGATCTTTGGTGCGATCGACGGCGTGATTTTGGGAGAGATTCTACCACCCCAAAAGTACCATTTCCCGTTGGAAAACGCCAAAGTCGAACGGCTCTTAGCTATCGCAATATACCTGTTCGACTCGCTAACATGGAAGTGCTACAGTGTAGGAGAATCGATCTGTGTGGTAGGTCGGCCGGGGCCAGGTCCCATGAACATCCATGGCTCACATAAGATCACCGCATGTGGAATGCCCGCGAGCAACTTCGCCACCTGCGCGGATCTCGTGGGCAGGATCCCTTGGTTGAACCTCCCGAAGTAAGACACGAGGAAGGCAACCCCCCTAACCGGCCCTAACCGTTACCCAGGGCATCCAGGCAGTTCCCACGATGTCGCTGGGAGTCCCAATGGTTCCAGTTCGACTAAAACCACTTCGACCGGTTCCGAAGGGCCCTGGTTCCTTATATAGTAACTGGGATGCACTGGGTGATATATCCCTATAGGGATCCTGTCGTACCTTCTCAGGTACGGTGAGCAAGGCGACACCGCTATGTATAGGTGCCAGGAGGGTCCAGTCGTACCTTCTAAGAAGGTGTGACTGGATCCCTAGGGATATGTAATGGAACCCAAGGCCAAGCTGTGGAATCACATCTCGTTTTCCGGAGAAACTTGTCCACCCCATCGGGAGCCTTCGTGACAGTGAAGAAGCAGGCACCATAAAAAAGGGGAAAACACAGAGACGGGTGTGCCTGGAGTCTCAGCTTGTACCTCGGAAAAAGGGTACGTAATTAAGATTATACTATACAAGTATACTGTCATGTCCCATTTTCTAGGGTCCTTTGGGAGGGTTCAGGTGTATTGAAAGTAGGGAGACCAGTCGACCCTGCCATGGGTTCTTCCTGATACACCATTTTTCACCCATGGACCGGTTCAGAATCGACTCCGGGAAACGTTTTGGGTGCAGAAATTCCAGTCACTTTGCGAAAGTTACTTTTGCATCCGAGCGCACATCCACATCGCCACTTGCATCATGTTATATATGGACCGGTAAGGATGTTTCCGAAAGGAAACAGCTCCTGGCCCTGGATCCCTATCGATCGCTGCAGTTCATGGCGGGATGTGAGCCACCAATCACAGATACAAACGACATGATCATGGAAAAACTCGGACTGTACGTGATCGGACTGTACAGATTGCGATCTTCTGTAAGAGAGCTGAGATTTGTTGGGATGTCGTTCCACGATATTCTCTGATAATCAGTCGAACATGATTACCCAGACACTCCATGGGACTGCCATATATGCCTACATTAGGGTGGTTTGGGGGGGTCATTATGCTTTGATCACTGTTGATGGGGCAAAATCCCGTGGCCCATGGCCAGAAAGAGAGATCCACGGTCGACCGTCTCCCCCCTCTCTGGCAACAAGCTCCGCCTGCTCAGGCACCGGGGCCAAGGGCACTGTGAGATTGCCGAAGTCCGCGGACACCAAACGCCGCACCCGTCCACCCTCCTCCTCCTGCGAAGCGCGCGCGCCGCGACTGATGAGTGTCTCGTGCTTCAGAATGGTTCGATCAGGCGCGGAAATCCGGAGTCCCTTGGAGTCTAGGCAGCTGGGTGGCAGCTGGGTGGCAGCTGGTCTTGGGAAGCGAAGTCAGGTGGTGAAAAATGGCTGAAGGAACCTCCAGCGTTCCGAAAAGGCGAGGGATCAAGGTCGGGAAGGGTTGACTTGACCTTGCACAAAAGGTCAGGCTGGACCAAAAGCAGTCATTCCAATCAGCTGGAACGTCATTCTGCCCATCGCCATGTACATTCGAAAAACCATGTCAAACTATCGTGTCGCGAGTCCCACGTCTGCTCCTTGACAAAGAAGGTCAGCCCCAGGCGAGGGAACTGCATGATCCGCCTCGGTGGTTCGAACCAGCGACGACTAAGGACGCCCGTTTTCTTCGAAGAAGGGGCACTGCACGGCACTACACGGGACGTTCTCACACATGGAAATGGAAATGGAACAGCCACCCTTTTCCGAAAACAGACTTCACAGCCATTTTCCACTTCCATGTGAGTGAGTACAGTCAGAGTGTATCCCTTTTCCGATTCTTCATCTTGAGTGGGCTGTCCCCCAATCCCCCAAGTCACGGTGACCTGCATCCACTGATCTAGGTCGGACCTGGTAGGACCACTCTTGAGCCCTGATGGAGCCGTGATGACGCGAGCTGGGTTCGTTCCCCCCCCAAAAGGGCAGGGGGGTGGTGAATGAAACAAGCATAGACCT